AGTCTCAGCCCATCATCCTCTTTTAGATAATCTGGCTTGTTAATAATTTGCCCGTTCATAGCAAGAAGGCTGTGCAGACAAAAAGAAATCGTTCCATCAAGTGTGCCTTCTTGAACACACACACACTACGACAAACACACACACCACACACACACACACACACACACACACACGCGCACGCACGCACACACGCACGCACGCACACGCACGCACGCACACACACACACGACCACAACACACACGCACCAACGCACACACACACACACACGACACACACACACACACACACGCACACACACACACACAACACACACACACACACACATGCACACACACACCACACGCACACGCACACACACGCACAGACATCTGACCGGTGTGATTAGAGATGGATATATTGATCTTAAAAAGAAGCTAATACTGCCCAAAAAAGTTTGTAAATTTAAAAGGAGACCTCTGTGTTTGTTTTCTGTTGTCGTGTGTAATGTTGACTTAGTCTTACCTCTGTGTAACCCCAGCCTGTGGGCGCCTCCTAACCCTGTCACCTCAGGCTAGGATTAACCAAGCAGCCTGTATAAAGAGGAAGATGGACACATCTTGTCAAATGAGGGGCAGGAAACTAAGCTGTGCTCAAGAACAGATCCAGGCAGGGCACCAGCTACCCTCAGGGACACCTGACCCGTTACCCTGTGGATGGAGTGTCATCATGACAGTAACCTATCATATTTGAAAAAATGAAGGTAATGGGGGATAAAGGTAATCCCTAAGAACAGCTTTGTGTTCTATGCCTGTAAGCTACTACGAGCAGACACAGGATGCCTTAGATGGGTGTCCGGTCTATCACAGAGCTAACATCGACAGCCAGTTTAGAATTACCAGTTAACCCTACAAGCACATCTCTGCAGTATGGGAGGAAGCTGTAGCAGCTGGGAGAACATGCTCCATCATACTGCAGGTTAGAACCCACAGTACAGTAACCACTGTACCATAGTGGCATATTTGTGTATTTTATCGTGCTTTTATGTTCAGGTAACCAACAGTTAGAGTAACTAGAAGATTAGCAATGTACCAGTCACACACAGTCTACATAACTAGTAGAAGATGTGCTTCATCTCTTTCTTCAAGTATTTAACAAACATGTGCTTCATATACATAAGCAACACTGTGTTGGTGCTTTTTCCCAGCATGACTACTGCTGCTCGCTGATACTCACCTCTCTCTAACCTAGCATCATCACATCACCTTTATTCTCATCAGTATCAGTACAGTCCTTCTCCACTCCTCAGACATCCTCTCACTCGCCAAGATCGTGTTAAAATATCTGGTTAAAAAGTCCTCCGTCCTCATTCCTAGACATCTCCACACCTCCACAGGTATGTCATCTGGGCCAATCACATTTCTCCTCTTCATCCTCTTCAAAGCTGCCTTCACTTCCTACTTCCTAATCCTCTGGACTTCCTGATTCACCAACACTCCTCCATCTGTCCTCTCTCTCTCCCTACATCTTCTCAACACACTTTCTTTACTTGACAGTAAATTTCCACCCCTGTCTTTAATCACTAACCTGCTACACACTTTCTTTACTTGACAGTAAATTTCCACCCCTGTCTTTAATCACTAACCTGCTGCACATCCTTTCTAGCTCGATGCTGACAATTTCTTTAGAGTCCCAACTCACATACAACTCATTATAAGGCTTCATTGTTGTCTAGCCTCCCAGTACTCCTGTATACTTTCTACATCTCCCTGACTAACTTATTCTTAACTTCTTCTTTTAAATAATTTCTGTAACTGCTCGTTCTACTACCAAGTCTCTTTCCTCTCTGCTACCAAGCACCTTCTTGGCAGTTCGCCTCACCGTTTCAGCTGTACTTTCTCTCAGCTCCTCCTTGAACTCTTTGCAACGTTCTCCCTTCTTCAGCTTTCTCCACTGAATCTTTGCCTCCGTCTTCACTCACTTCCTCTTCTTGACTTACAAAATCCTCCCACAGACTCCACTGCCACCACATTCAGTCTCCTCTCACTTTCAGATTTTACCTTCTGTATAAGACCTAGTCCCCCGGTGTTCACCTTCCTCCACCCTTATTCCTCATTCTGTGCTCCTCCCTCTTTTTAAATACACGTTCACCGTGGTCATTTCCATCCTTTTTGTAAAATACACCAACATCTGTCCATCTGCATTTCGCTCCACCATGCCTACCCAACATGCATCGCCCCAATTCTTTTCCTTTGTCTTTGCGTTTGTGCTGTTTCTGGTTTAAGGCTTAGTGATAAAAGTTTACCTGTCGCAGATCGATGAAGGCCAGCTGAAGAGTGTCTCCTTGAAACCCAGGCACTGGCTCTGAGCTGGCAAACACTGAGAAGTTACAAAGACAACGTCACAAAACAGTCGACTCAAAGCTGGAGTTTCAGGTCTGTTTCTTACTATACAAGCACACACTGGACATTTGGAGGTCTGTGGTCATTCAGCTAAATGCTGGATTTAGTTATGCAAGAAATAAGAATCATTTTTGTTGTAGATGAAACATTTATATGTGAACCAGTGGAGGCAACACATGCTGGTCAGCACAAAGATTCTGCACTTCTTTGGAAGAAATCACACCAGCAGTATCACACAAGAGCAGAACTGAAATGTTATATTACGCTCTGCGTGATTTGTTTTACTGAAACCATTGTATCGTTTATATAAACATTCATGTAAACTGTTTTACAAATAGCAATGTGAAATGGCTGAACTTTAGTCATCGAGGTATTTTAGGACTATCTATCTATCTGTGTAAGCAAAACAGGCATTACTGCAAGTCCATGCTGCTTTGTAAAGCATTACACATAAAACGTCACTGTCCTTAAACGCAGTAATTCGTTGTAGTACTCATTAAATTACTTTCATGTTACTCTGTAAATTTAATTGAAACGCGCTGTCACATAGGGCTGTGCGATATGTCCAAAATCTCATATCCCGATATAAGACGTCTATCGTCCGATAACGATATAAATCACAAAAATGTAACATTTTCTGTAAAGTCTGTGAATCTCGGGCAGCTCGACTTGCGTGAAGTGTTTCCAGCTGCGCGTCGTGTAGCTGGAGTCGAGTGTTTTAACCGATGCATGAAACGATACATTTTTAGACATAAGTTGTAACGGCGCCGTTTTCTTTGTGAGTATTTATTACACGGCGTGCTGCGGGGAAAAGCCTGTTCTAACGTTTGAGTCTGAGCTTTATTTTTTAGCACCTGACGCTCTTTTTTACTTCTCATCCGTAAATAATCTGCTCTTTCACGTGATTCAGTTTATTTTGAAAGGTCTCAACAGGATCTTGAGCTTTATTGTGAAAGGTTTATGTGGAACATAAACAAGCGGACACGCGATGCTGTTACCGTCGTTGTTGCTAACCACAACGCATAAAAACAGGCGCTTGTCCGTCTGTAGTGTGGTTATATTAAATATAAGAGAAAGAGAGAACTTTAAGAAATGAATACAGAAGCCACTACAGTGACATCAGAACCATGAACAAATATCACTGTAAACAGTTTATTTTGCGACACCACGAAACAAACGATAGCGTAAAATGAAACGATGGATGTTTTTATATCGTCATCATATATATATCGTTATATCGAGCAGCCCTACTGTCACATAACTACCAGTTAACAATATAAACACATATCTCTGTCCTAATGAAGATGCAGCCTCCATGCTGTCTGTGCAGAGGTTTTGTTATTAGTAATATGCTCTTGTTTCTGCAGCGGAAGTAGTTTTCACTTCACCATCACACTCTGGTCGCTGTAATCATTTCCATACATCCACTCCTCACAAGCTGCAGACTGCTCCTGCATGCATGTGTGAGTGCACACAAAGAAGAAGGTGCATTTGCTCGTTTTCTTTTCATCCACCTGACGTGCAGGTAACTACAAAACCTCTGTAATGTGATTAACAACATAATTGCAAATGTAATGTCACTACTGAATTTAGTACAATATCGTGTTACATTACCATGTTGCTGAAAAATGTCTTGTGATTACAGTAATGTGTTACTTTGGAACACATTACACCCAACAGTGTTTGTAAGAATCATCATCTGACAAGTGATAAGATGATATTACATTAAATGCCTTTGCATTTCAGTATTTTTCTTAGTTTCAATAGAATGTTATTGTATCTTATCTATATTAAAAGAAAACAAATGTTTCAACATTACAATTCTTTATACTCACATTCACACTGAATAACATCTAAGTTGAACTGCTGAATGGCCCCCATACTGATCTGTTTGAGTTCCGTGTCCAACAGCATCTGCATCAGTGATGTGGACAGATGCTTGCAGGCTGACATACAAGCGGTCTGGGCCACTTTTCCCTGCACAGGGAGAGATTCAGGGAGAAGGAAGGCACAGACAAGAAGCAAGAGGAGAGATGAAGGATGGAAAGATTAGGATGGGGACAGAGTTGGTAGAGGATGAGGATGAGAGGAGGGGAAAGCGACAGAATGAAGTCATTTGATGGGGTGAACATTTTATAAAGAGAGAACGGGCAGTATTTGAGTTTTAAAAATATGTAGGAAGGCCAGGATGGGAAAAAGAAGGTGAATAATAACAGATTGAGATAAACAGTTGTGGTAAAAAGTTGAAAGAGAAGAAGGAGGAGGGTATGAGAAAAGAGGATATAGGAGTAATACAGAAATGGGGAATAAAGAGCAAGAAGGGCAAGGGATAATTCCAAGTTAGTGTTGTCTCAAATTCTTCATGAACAGGTATAAATATAGTACTGTGCAAAAGTCTTGAGTCACCACTATGTTCTGTATTTGCTAGAAAAATGGAAAAAGTGCAATGATTTATTGAAATGTTTACAGGTTATGTAACATCCATCCATCCATTCGCTTCCGCTTATCCTTTTCAGGGTCGCGGGGGGCGCTGGAGCCTATCCCAGCTGTCATAGGGCGAGAGGCAGGGTACACCCTGGACAGGTCGCCAGTCTGTCGCAGGGCCAACACACAGGGACAGACAACCATTCACACTCACATTCACACCTAGTGGCAATTTGGATTATCCAATTAACCTATCCCCACAAGCTGCATGTCTTTGGATGGTGGGAGGAAGCCGGAGTACCCGGAGGGAACCCACGCAAACACGGGGAGAACATGCAAACTCCTCACAGAAAGACCCCGGCCTGATGGTGGAATTGAACTCAGGACCTTCTTGCTGTGCGGCAACAGTGCCAACCACTGTGCCACCGTGCTGCGTGCGTGCTGCCACCGTGTTATGTAAACATGAAAAAGTTAAATGAAAAATTAAAAAAAAAAAAAAAAAAAAAATATATTTTAGTATATATATATATATATAACATGTATAATATCCACAAAACTTAAAAAGAGGTTATAACACACAATACGGTAACATTATGTTGATGCACAGTACGTATCACTCCGCGAGGCTCCGCCTACGATAGCCGTGATGCTCCGACAATCCATCAAGCAGTGCGGCTTCGTAGCTCAGCAAAGTCGTACTAAAACATTTGACAGATTTTCCAAAAAACGGTAATAACGACGGCCCGCTAGCATGCTCTACCAAAAATAGTGCTTTGTTGTGTATCTGACGGACGAAAGCTAAACCAGTTCCACACCACTGAAGTTGCAGCATTTTTACAAACCAATTCTGGTTCATCTGTTTCATTCAACGATCTGCTTTCACCCTTCTCATTCTCCGTCGCCGCCATGCTTTTTCTGCCATGTGGGCGATTGTGGCTCAAGAGTTGGGAGTTCGCCTTATAATTGGAAGGTTGCCGGTTCGAGTCCCGGCTTGGACAGTCTCGGTCGTTGTGTCCTTGGGCAAGACACTTCACCCGTTGCCTACTGGTGGTGGTCAGAGGGCCCGGTGGCGCCAGTGTCCGGCAGCCTCGCCTCTGTCAGTGCGCCCCAGGGTGGCTGTGGCTACAATGTAGCTGCCATCATCAGTGTGTGTGAATGGGTGGGGACCCCTTTGGGGTCCTTAGGGACTAGTAAAGCGCTATATAAATACAGGCCATTTATGTGCGTATGAAAACAAAAGCACTGCACATGCGCGTTTTATCCATATTCTATCGCCATATTTCATTTTCTTATCATTGCCTAACATTATACCGGTATTACCGTGAACGGTATGATATGGGCCAGCCCTAGGTGGGAGAGGCCGTTTCTCCCAATCACACCCTATCAGGTCTCACTGTTGTTGTCGTGCTGCTCATGTGGAGAGAGTCCCCGGGTGGAGTATCTCAAGCTCCTCACCCAGGGACTCCGAGAACGAGGGTGGTCCCATGTCCCTTGATGTTGTACTCATAAAAGTCTTCTGAATCGCTCTTGACTGGTCCCACACCCAGGACCAATTTGTAGGGAGAATGTACCATCGGATCCCTAGGACACACGAGCAACTCCACCACAATTAGGTAGTGATTCACGGAGGGGATATAAATGTAAAGTTTACAATAAATGAACATCGATAGTAAGTTGTTAACTGTATAAAATAGTGCATTTCACAATATCTTTTACAATATATGCGAATAGCACATGAAGTGATTAATTACCACTCCATCATGGACATCTTGTGGCCCTCCCAGTATACTTTTAGACTGTGTTGTCATCGATGGATCTGCTATGCTGGCCAGCAAGCCCACTCGGTCTTACCAGTTGAGTGCCCTGTATGGAGCTGCAAGCGGGTCTCTGGAGGTGTGGATTATAGCAATGTTCGCCAGCTGGGATGGCATTGGTATTGTTGTATGGAATGGATATTTGCATCACGGACATTAATGATGCTGGGATTTCGGACCATTTCCCAGTTATGTTTGATGTTCAGTTATGCAATATGGAACTGAACTCTGAGGGTCCACTGAGCCTATCGCGTCTGATTAATTCTGAGGCTGTTGCCCTTTTCTCTGCGGCCTTTGCTAACTCTGTCTGTTACGATGACATCAGTAATGCACCTCTCTTGGTTGATGGCGTAGTCAACTCTTTTATTTCTACATGTTCTTCTATTTTGGACACTGTGGCTCCAGTAAAGACTAAACGCCGTAAAACCTCTCGCCAACTCTGGCTAAATGAATCCACCCTCGCTCTTAGACGTGAATGTCGTCGAGCTGAGAGGAGATGGAAAAAAGATCAACTTCAGGTGTCCCTTGACATCCTGCATATGAGCCGGTCTAAATTTCAGAAGGCTGCCAAAATGGCAAAAACTTCTTTTTTGTCGAACATTATTGCAACTAATAGTCACAATCCTCGAGTTCTGTTCAAAATCTTTAACTCAGTGGTTAATCCCTGCTCTGATGTTTCGATGGGTGCCTCCCTGGCCCTCTGCGAAAAATTTCTAAATTATTTTATAGATAAAATCTCAGTGTTAAGGGCCCCACATTCTCCGGTAGTAAATCAAGCCCCAGTTTCCGAATGTTCAACGGTTTTTCAACAGTTTGAACCTGTGTCATTCTCGACTTTAAAGGAAATAATTAATAACCTGAGAAGCTCAAATTCTCTGCATGACATTATTCCTTCTCGTATCATTAAGGATGCATTGAATACAATCGGGTCCTGTATCTTATTTTTAATGAACTCATCACTGTTATCTGGCTGTGTTCCGACTGTCTTTAAACATGCAGTCGTGCAACCTGTTATCAAGAAAAGCAGCCTTGATCATAACACTCTAGCAAATTACAGGCCGATTTCTAAACTCCCTTTCATGTCAAAAAGTTTAGAGAAAATAGTGCTTCAGCAACTACAGACCCATTTAGAGAGAAACGGTATAAGTGATAAATTCCAGTCTGGATTTAAACCGCGTCACAGCACCGAAACTGCCCTACTAAGAGTTTTCAATGACCTTCTTCTAATCGCTGACTCTGGGCGCTCTGCGGTCTTAGTTCTATTGGATTTGACTTCAGCCTTTGACACGGTTGACCATGATATCCTTTTGGCAAGGTTGGAACAAGTAGTAGGCCTTAAAGGAAATGTTCTATCATGGTTTAAATCATATTTCTCTGAGAGGTCGTTCTCTGTCATGATGGGAAAATATTCCTCTTCTTCTGCCCTTTTTCGCTGTGGTGTGCCCCAGGGCTCGGTATTGGGTCCTGTGTTGTTTTCTCTGTATATGCTGCCCTTGGGCTCCATTTTTGAAAAACATAATGTCTCTTTTCACTGCTATGCTGATGATATTCAAATCTACCTCCACCTGACTGGGGATGTTTCATCTTCACTACATCCTCTGTTTGATTGTCTGAGGGATGTCAAAGACTGGTTATCACGTAACTTTCTTACTTTAAATGAAAAGAAGACAGAAATGATTGTTTTTGATAGAAATATGCCTCTGGGACAACTGACTGGCACACTCGGGCCTGTTGCTAACCACCTCACTGATGCTGCTAGGAATCTTGGAGTTTTCATGGATAGTTCCTTCAAACTAGATAAACAGGTCTACTGTGGTAAAAACCAGCTTTCACCAACTACGCCTAATTTCTAAGGCTAAACCTTATATACCACGCAAAGATCTGGAGAAACTCATTCATGCTTTCATCACTTCAAGACTGGATTATTGTAATTCTCTCTACTTGGGCCTCCAATCTTCTCTTCTTCAGCGATTGCAGCTGGTCCAAAATGCCGCAGCACGTCTCTTAACCGGCACTAGAAAGTATGATTCTATCACCCCTGTTCTGGCCAACTTACATTGGCTTCCTATTAAATATCGAATTGATTTTAAAATTTATTGTTTACTTATAAAATCCTAAATAATATGGCACCTGATTACTGATCTCCTCTGTCTGTATAGCCCTCAGATCATCGGGCCAACTGTAGGGCTGCCACAAACGATTATTTTGATAGTCGACTAGTCACCGATTATTTATGCGATTAGTCGACTAATCAGATCATCATCCACTGGACGTAAAACTACAGCTTATTGCACCAGCAGCATCTGCTCTTATATAACTATCATTAGCTTACAGCTTTAAGCTTTTAAGGTGCTAACTAAAAATAAAGACAAGATGATAGTTTATTCAATTTTAATGAAATTTGCAGATTGTTTCGGTAAAGTTTAATAAACTCCTTGCTATCTAAAATATAACAGGACACCGGAGTATATTCTCCAGCATCTCACACTTCTGATAATCAGCTGTCTGCTTGACGTTTATTCAGCTGTGTAAAAACTATAACTTTAATCTCAGCCAAACCGATTTACTCAGGAACAAATAAAATACTAAAAAAAAAAAAAAGCCAAACAACAACATTTTTAATTTATCTAAGTGACTCATATATATTTAACCTGAGTCGCGAAAGACGGCGGTGGGTTTGAAAACAATTTGCCGGGAGTCCGGTGTTCTCACGGCGCTAGTGACCTAGCCCCCGGCTAGCTATCGAGCTAGTGGGTAACAGACGTCTCCGAAAACGTCGGAGCGCTTTTGAAAATATGTGGTGTCCTGATAAACTGAGCAGATATTTGAGGTTTACACAGCTACATTCTCGCCTGAAAATATGTTAAACGTTTATTTTGTGACCCAGAAAGAATAATAAGAGTAATATTAAAACTAACTAGCTGCCGCCATTGTTGGAAACTGAGCTGGGCCGCGCTATGAATTCTGGGACAGAGCTACTTCTTCTTCTTCGGGGTTTAACGGCAGCTGGCATCCTTGTACATGCAGTGCTGCCATCTTCTGTTTCAGTCCGTTATTACACTCTTAAATCCTGCTATTATTCCTGCGTCTTTTGCGATCTTACAAAGCTTCAAACAACACGTCGACTATTAAATCAGTCGTCGACGATTTTGATAGTCGACGTAATCGTGACTAGTCGACAAATCGTGGCAGCCCTAGCCAACTGCTCTTAGTGCAACCTAGGTCTCGGCTGAAGACCAGAGGAGGCTGTGCCTTTGCCATTGCCGCACCCAAATTATGGAATAATCTTCCTCTCGACATTCGCGCATCAGATTCTATTCAATCTTTTAAATCACGTCTAAAAACGTACTTGTTTAACCTGGCATTCAAGGCTAATTAGGGTAATTTACATCTGGCTTTGCATTTCGATTATGTAATTATTTTATATCTGTAATTTATATTTTATATTGTGATTTTTATCTGTATCATGGTTTTACTGGAAAGCACTTTGGTGTACTTCGGTCTTTAAAATGTGCTACATAAATAAATTTGATTTTTTGTTTTGGATTTGATTTGAATATCTGGTACCTGGATTTTGTTTCACATGGGCACCTTGAACAAATTGGAAGTGCTTCATGTTAAATCTCCTTCAAGTGTTAGAAATGCAACTTTGAACGAACTTTGAATTGATCCATAAAGTATAGTACAGCTAGTATAAAACAATCTATTGCCTGGAGTTTAGAAGTTTTATTTATGTAAAGTGTGCCGAGTGTAGCTGCTAGGTGTGGCCTCAAAGAAGTTTCCAGGTTCACTATATAAACACCAGTCAGCTGGTGTTCCTGGTTAGCAGTGACTGGCATCAAGTTCAGAGTTACATGTAGTTTACTGTAGCACTGAAAGTGAGGCCAGAACACAACATTTTTACACCTTGCAGATGGGCCTGAATTATGCTCCCTTGCTAACAAACTCACAGACAGCTGCAGAGACCTTAGTTGTTCTTAATTTCCTACCTTCCTCTAAGCAGGCATCCGTACTGAAGGTAATATCCACCCTGCACTCAGATCCCAGTGGACTCTAATTTCCAACCATTACAACTCTATTTTTAGAGCAGTTTAAAAAACACAACGTAGTTGACCAAAGTTATTTCCAGACAGCAAGAAAATATAAAACAGGTATTAAACAATAATGAAAACTAAATAATAGTAAAACAAAATAAGAATAATAGACAATAAAATAAAACTAGAATAAACAAACTCCACACAGAAAGGCCCTGGCCAGGATGTTGTGAGGCAACAGTGCTAACCACTGTGCCACTGTTTATAAAGCTAACAGGACATTCAACATTCAACAGCAGAGATAAAAATGAAACCTTGGCTTCAAAAGCAAACGGAGTCTAGAAACACACCGAAACAATTTGCATGAAAAAACTGGGATTTCCATGATGTAGTTTTTCTTCTTCTTCAGTCACCTCTTTCACTCACCCACATCTCTCTTCATTTAATTATTAGTTATTATAAATGTCTGGGTCTGTCTTTGTGCTTCCTCCCCTAACCCCAACCGGCTGTGCCGCCCCTCCCTGAGCCTGGTCCTGCTGGAGGTTTCTTCCTGTTAAAGGGAGTTTTTCCCTTCCATTGTTGCCAAGGTAAAGACTGATTGCAGGGTCTTTACTTTACAGTACAGCATCTTGAGGCATCTGCTGTTGTGATTTGGTGCTGTATAAATAAAGGTGAGCTGAATTGCAGTATTGGCCTTAGCTTTCATATGCAGTGGATGTTACTTCATCCTTGGTCTCACAGCTTTCCCGCAGATAAAAGTATCTGTTGCTCAAGTTTGAATGTAATTATGGTCTGTGAATGTTTTCATTAGCAACAGTTCCAGATTGTATATTAAAGATAGCTTTCATGTCTGAAAAGTGAAGCCAAAGCAAAAGTGCTGAGTTGCAGACTTGTCAAGTCTTGAGCCAGTTAGCCTGCAGTGTCCCCCTGTGCCACAGTAAGGTCCGCCTATCCTGTAATGTCCCGTTTCAAAGAGCTAAAATGGAAACAAAATGCTCACAATGGGAATACCTCATAGGTGATGTCATGGTGGCTACATCAATCTTTTATATTCAGTCTATGGCAGAACCACAAGCTTAGAGTTGTGGGACTTCTGAAGGCAAACATTAGCATGCATTGTATCGCCATTCTGCCTGTAGCTTAGCAGCAAAGTGTTATAAATCCAGGCAGGGATACTCACCGACATTGATGCATGATCATTGTTGTTATTCTGAGCAGAGAACCCCCAAACCAACCAAAAATGGAAGAAGGAGAGGGAAAGAGGGAAAGGACAGGAAAAGAAATGTGGCAACAATAAATGGACAGGAGGAGGTAAGTTCAGCTAGAGATATCTTGCATGCTTGACATGTCAAATTAATCAAGGAGTAAAAAATTCAGTTACAAAGCTGTGCATTACAGAAGGTGTGGATGGAGACACAGCAGGAGATAATAAGGAGAAATAGTCGCACATGCAGGTGAGAAGGGCAGGTACAGCCAACAGACCAATCAGGCTGTGAGCTCAAATAACAGTTTCTGATCAAGTCCTTTACACTTTGCTATCTAATGTGCTCCGTTGGGTTGAAGATGATGTCAGTTTGCAAAAACATTGCACAAGCCAGTAACAGCACATCATGCAGAAATCAGCACTGCAACGTGTACATAGCTCAACGTGATATCCACAGTATAAACCTTTTTCAGACAGCACCTACAATCTGACAGAAATGCTATGAGGGCGTAAAAAACAACAGAGTGATGGTGGGAAGTCAGGGAAGGAAAACAAACAAACAAAAATAATCATGCGTTCGTATTATCAACAAAAGATCAACCTCACAGCACGCCATACAGCTAGTGTGTGAACAGAAAGGACAACAACAACACAACCCCACACTGTTCATGTTCCACAGCTCCCAGACAGAGGTGCTGAGCTAACGTGTAGAGGTTGGAGGCGGCTCACACTCACCGGGAGGTGTGTGAACACCTGGAAGGTAGATCGTAGGAAGTTGATCAGGTCCATGAGATACCCTGACGCGCGGCCGTCAGACTCGGCCATGCCCCATTCGTAGTCTGCTAGCTGGATGAACTCATCGATCTTCTGGTTCAGTTTGGTGTAAATCTCTCCCTCTGCAGCATGACGAGCATCCTGGAACAATGTTTTCACAAGAGTTAATGGGAGCAAATATTATTGTTCTTCCTACACGCATTCATTTTCGGAATGGAGACACAGAGCTTCAACTTCTGCCACTTCATTAAGTACACCCGTTTAACATCTCATTAATCAGCCAATCACATGGCAGCAACTGAATGTAATCAGGGATGGAAGCAGAGACGACCTGCTGAAGAACTGAGCATCAGAACGATGAACAAAGGTGTTTTTGAACGTGGCTTGCCTTGTCTCAATAACTGCTGATTTACTGGGATTCTCTTATATCAGTTTCTAGACTAAAAAAGTGAATCTGTTCACCAGATGAAAATGCAAGAAGTCAGAAAAGAATGGCCAGACTGCTCAGAGGTAAGAAAGCTAACAGTAAACTCATCACAACCGAGGTATGAAGAAGGTGACTGCTAAAGGCACAAATCACCTTGAAGGTCGACAGTCCGTAGAGTCTTGTGGTGTGAACTGTTTCTGGGGAGACGTTGGTGATGTTTGTTATGAATTCCTCCAGATACCTGCAGGCCTGCTCCAGGTGGGTGGTATTAATGATGATCTGTACCAGCTACAGAGACATGGTTACAGTTGTAGCCTGAATCCTGAATGCTTTTCACGACTGTGTGTGTGTGAGCAGTTCTAACCTCGGTCAGTCCTATGTGAGGTTTCTTGATAAGGTTTTGCAGACAACTGCTGAGAGTTCTTGTCAGCAACAGGTTGGTAGATTTTCGCAACATGTCATCAATCTCTGTTGAACTGGACACACAACAAACTTGACAGTTGTAAAGTGAAGAGACGGCAGTCCGGGGAGATTAGATATGTAGAAGTGTTCGTGTGGCGAGTGAACACAGAGTAGTGTACCTGCGGTGTAGTGACTCTGAGAACTTGAGGCTGGCGTAAATGAACTCTTTGACCTGGGTGTAGATCTGAGGGACAGACTGGGACATTGGCAGCTTCTTAGGAAAGTCCTGCTGCTTATGCACACAGAAAAACTGTATTAATATTCATCCAACACTAGTTGTCTTTTAGGAAATCTTTCTTTTACGTGGATGCAACCGTGCCAGATTGGGGAGACGGTGGTACTTGAACACATTACCTTCTCTATCTCAGCATCGTGGAAGGGAAAGCGGCTGACAACCAGTTTATATTCCTCCTCTGTCTCCACTGGGATGGGACTGTAGTTGTCCAGTTCAAAGATCTCTCTATGGGAACACAGATCAGAGTTATCTTTGGTCTCCACTGTTTGTTCAGTTCAGTTTAATGTCGTCTCAGTGCCATTTTCAGCATCAATGATGTGAAAAAAAGAACACCTTCCCTCACATGGTGCTGATGCTTTGCTGAAACAGTACGAACAAAGCTGATTCTGGTTTTAGTTGTGTGTTTTTAGCTGCTCTGCTATGTTCAAACAAAATGTGCAGGCTGCATACAGACGGGGATGTCACAGCAGAAAGCCTTACCGCAAACACAATTGTTATTGTCAAATTGTCATTTGTGTTTCTGCACGTTCTACTGTGGCAGACGCCACACGTGAGTGAAGCCCACCTGAAAACCAGTGCCCATTTCTTCAGCAGGGTTTCGTTGTACTGGTCTCTAACCTCAAACAGCAGGTCAAACAAACGGTTTACCGGGAAGCCGAACCCCTGCACAAACATCACACAGTCAGAAAACACGTTTTCACACGGCAGAGTCACAAACAAGTCAAGTCCCACTCTTAACCAACCTGTAGTGTGTCAGCAAAGATGACTATGAGATTCTTCAGCTCCAGCACCAAGTCTGGGTCGTCACAGTATGACTGCAGAAAGAGAGTCATCACCACACACTGGTCTAACGTCGCATTATCTGCTTTGCTTCCTAAATCTATGTTCATGTGAGTCTTTGCAGTCCTCTGAAAACTGAGCAACCTGTCATTCAAAAGCGTGTCCGACCACCTTTATCAGTAACTGAACTTATAATTGTGAGAAGTTCTCATGTTGACAACATTGTTTCAGTTCACTGAGCTCTGTTTAGGCGTAGCACACTTCAGAGCCCCCCACAGCATTTGATTCTTTTTCTTTCCTGACACTCTGCAGCACATTTGCTTATGTGCTTAGGATCATCGTCCTGCTCCATGACCCACTTTGGGCCTTTGAATACATATGAAGTAACTGCACTGTATACTGTGTAGAGTTTTAACTAGGTACATTTTTATAGGAAGTCTGTCAAAATGCCTACATGACAAACAAGTTAAGCCAGTGCATTAACAAAGGTCCTCGCTTTTCCAGAGAGTAGGGCGATTTATCACCCTGAAAGCAGCACAGCTGTATATGAACACAGCCTGAGACTGGACACTCAGCAGCAATGGCTGGCCTCTCCATCTACTCCAACAATCTTAAAAAATGACAAAAAATTAAGTCTACTTCCACCATATCCAGACCAATGAATGCAAATGTGCTAAATCTGCTCTTTAAGCTGCGTTTTGTTGTCTATTGAAAGCATATTGTATTTATTTAACCCGCACTGGGAGAATTTTACTCATTAAGTATATCATCTGCGTGTATTAGTTTTGCTTTTTTTTTTTTTAAACAATCTGATGCAGCCTTGTTACTTTTAGCTGACCATGCACTCGCTGTAAGTGCAGGAGCCCGACAATGTGGACTTGCTTTTGTCAGAGCACAGCAGGGGGGCACAGAGGACACCAGGTCTTTGTTAGTCTTCTCACCCATGCTGTGCGGCCTATTCTCCAGCCTGTTAGCATAATCCTCGGGGTCATTTACAACTGACAGGGCTCCAGCGGGCAGGAATATGCCTTCTTTATCTGCTGTTATTGTTGCAATCTGTCTCTCATTAAGGTCACAATGGCCTCCTCTTTGCCTGCATGTGTATGTGTGTTTTGACCTCTGCTCTTAATAGTGACATCATTAGTGTGTTTGTGGGTGTGCTGACCTGTGAGGGGTATATCATCCACTGAATGAAGGAACTATCATTTCTATTAACTCTCAACAGCATCTTTTCCATTCACAGTCAATGCCCTGCAGACATTAGAGGTGTGTGTGTGTGTGTGTGTGTGTGTGTGTGTGTGTGCTCCTACAGAGTGTGTCCGGAGTACAGCGATGATCTTGGACAGCGCCATGTTCCACAGTTCATCAGTATAAGCTCTGGTCACCAGCCCTTGAGTGGCATGGAGGATATGGTCCTCTACAACAAAGAACCTGACCCCACACACACACACACAACACACACACACTAACTACACACTAACTATACACTAACTACACACACACACACACACACACACACACACACACACACACACACACACACACACACACTTAGGTTCACAGTGAAACAAAACAGCCTGATGAGCATTTGAAAGGAACATCTTACCCCACAATCTGATTGAAGTATCTTCTGTAGCCTTCCACTGTCTCATGCTAAACACACACAAATAGACACAAAGCCATGTTAATACAGATGCAAACGTAACAGTCACCAGTAAGGCAAATATTGAAATAGGAGGGAGAAAAAACAAGTTAAAAGTTGTATTTCTGCAGCTCTTGTTTGACATGGCTTTTGCTTTGTGACTTCATCCCAGGAACCACCGAGGCTCAAGCCTGCTGGGACCTGGAAGCTGATGAACCAGCACCACTCTCCATAGTAAAGATATGGACTGAGATGGTGCCGCCTATCTGTGCACCGAGCATGCTGGTGGTAGCATCTTGCTCTGGGGCTGTTTTGCTTTTTCCTGATGTTATCCTAAAACTTTAAAACATCCTTTATAACTTTTTAAATACAAAGTACAGCTGTTTATTTTCCCCCTGAAAAAACAGTAACAGTCATGGTTTTCTAAGCTTTGCCAGAGCTGGATCGCAGCTGCTGTACGATCTGTGAGTAATCTATTTAGTCATAGTAAGAAATACACAGGTTCTAGGAAAAATTAATACAAGGCAGATTGTGTTTAGTGCCATGTAGTCACAATGAAAGGCCCACTGAAAACCCCCGAGCGCTTGTCTGAATTTCATTCATATGCTTTACACGTATGTTAAAGCGCTTGTGTTGCTCACCATGTTAGCCTGAGGCTGCAGAACTAGCCGGGCCTGTTTTTTCCTCTGTTTCCTGTAGTAGTTCTCAAATGTTTCTCGGTCACCCTGCTCACACACAGAATACAGACATAGATCAATTAACTATGATACATGATGCTACAAACCAGAACACTCAGGTACTATCACATCCCTTTCCACAGACTGTCCTGGTCCTGGGTCTGGAGACTCGGTGGCTTTTAGTTTGTATTTCTTGCTTCTTTAGTGTTTTGGTGATTTCTAGTTGTTGTGTTTTGTTGTTAGGTCCCTTGTGTTACTTCCAGTCATCCTTGTCTCTATGTTCATGTATTTCCTGTTTTACTTTGACAGTCCCGTGTCCTGTTAGCGTTTATAGCTTTGCTCTCCTCCCCGTCTCGTCACGCCTGATTAGTCTCGGCTGCGTTCCCCTCCTGTTTCCTATTTCCTCATTATCCTCTGTGTATGTATGGCGTGTGTTTTCCTTTGTTCCTCGTCGGATCATCTGTCAGGTTTCATGTAGTTTCACCTTCCTGTGTCTGAATCCCCGTCCTTTTTACCTGCTCTGGGCTTCATGGGGCTTAGGTAATAAACAGACCCGGCACTATCTTAGGTGACACAGAGAGGAGAGCTGAGACTGATATAATCACAAGCATTGGAGCTGATCATGAAACAGCTGTGCTGTATTTCAGGGGTAACGTTGGATGTTAGCACTATAACCTTGATTCCAGTTAATTAGCATAGCTGTCATTAGATAATCAAAATCCAATGAACAGAGAAATAAGGCAGACCAATGGATAGCATTAGTTATTAGCTTTCGCCACAGACACCTACCAATACAGTATAGATGTGTAGACACCTGTAGACGGGCGAGAAGTCCACCAGATCCTGAGCTGTAAGAATCTGTAAGAACACAAATGGAATGTTTTTAACTGATTCTTCATATGCTGGTTATTTGGTCATGGTAAATGGACTCGTTCCTGCTCTGAGCACTCAAAGTGCTTTACACAGTGCCTCATTCAGCCATTCACAGAAGCACGTTTTGCTATGTGCTTTCTATTTAACATAGAGCTTCACATACATTCATACTCTGATGGATGCATTGGAGAGCAACTGGGAATTATTATGCCACGCAGACTTGAGTAGCCAGGGATCGAACCACGAACCTTAGCAGGTGACCTGCTTACAAAACTGTCTTATGTAATTATAGAAACTTAGTTACAGAATTCCTGATTATGCAGCATGACAAATGGATCACTCTGTAACTAATGACTGACTAACATCCACCTGCACATTTGTTATGTCTGATGAAAATATAATAACAGAAAACTAGAGAAGAAGGAAGAACGATTGAGCAGCCAGGCAGCAGAATCTCAGGCGTTCACCTGTGGGTTAGCCTCACATGGAGCAGAGCTGCACATCACAGCAGTACGAAGGAAAATTAACAGTAAAAAAAAAAGAAAAAAAAAAGGGTCGATGCACTGTTACCTGCTGAATTTAAAAATTATATAATATTAGGGGTGCAACGATACACAAAATTCACGGTTCGGTTCGATACTTTGGTGTCACGGTTCGATATTTTTTCGATACAAAAAAATGTTCATGCCTTTTTAATTTGTCATTTATTAAAATTATAAATATATATTTTAACTCAAAAGTACAGTTTTTAAATTTAACCCTAACCCTTGTGCGTGTTTTTTATTTTGACAGCGAATGCGCACCTGCGGACCACTTATGTGCAGCCCTGGTTATTTAGCTCATCATATTGCAGCCACAGAAATTCTTTTGTCCATGAAACCATAAAGCTGCACTTTCTTTTTGCCTTATAGTCTGATTTGTCATAACTTCTCCGTTTTGTGGTAAGCTTTTCTTTGGCTGTCACTTCTTCACCCTGACCTGTCTTATTTGGCTCAGCAGAACTAAAATATAAATCCTGCTGCTTTTACACACGCACTCACATAAGCTCAGCGATTCTCTGCGCGATCAACCTCTCACATGTTTAAGCTGCGGGAGATTTCACTTGTCATGTTTGCATAGTAAGCTAACGATTAATAAGACGATGTCAGAGGAATTGGTGCACAAATTATCATCACTCACAGATCAGTGCTGTCGCTCTCTATACACAGTTCGCACGATTGCAAAGTGAAAGCAAAAAAACAAGCGCAAATTCAAACGCGATTTCAATATGTCACATATTGACAGTGGCTCACCGATGCCAATGACATAATTACCCAGCTACATTTCTGAAAGAATGCAAAAGCATTGACATATATTTTTCCTTCCTACAATAGCCCCACGGGCAGGGTAGCCCGTCTGAAAAAAATCGCTAGCCCCAGGACGTCGGGCTAGCGATTTTGCGAGCCCTGTATCTGATTGAGGAATCACTCATCTTTGGAAAAGAGAGTTTATTACAGAGAAATGTCTCTTTCCAAAATAAAAGCTATACTATCCGCTTCTTCTGGGCTATATTCTCAGCAGCATATTAAACATATAAGGAGAATCATGTGCTAACAGCTGTCTAAATGACTCGGCTAAAGTTAGTAGCATGCTTGTTGTTTTTGTCTTTGCACTAGGATGATGTCGGCGTAAATGTGCAGTCATATTCGTTGTGTTCCCACTAGTGCTTTCAGGTTAATCTCGTTGAAATGACCTTAACGCCACAACACGGCAAATCTCCGTTAACGAGCTACCGCCGATCGCCCGTGCATGGGGCTAGACGGCCAACACGTTAACGAGCTAACTGCGCTAACACACTAGTTCCCACCCATGTAATTGAGCATTGCATGGCACATCCAACATACTGTTTTACTTTAGTCCATGACTCGCTTACCTTCAGGGTCATACGTCACATGAAAACCAAAATAATTCCAAACGCCAGATCTGAATGAGGGTGGGGGAGGTCCATGTTGCAAGGAGAGCTTAACTTCTGTCTTGCTAGCTTGCCCTGCGCTCTTCCTTCTGACTATGCTGTCTGTGTTGAGCGCTCAGTGGATCTGCGCTCGACAGTGCAGCCTAGGCGGAGTAGTCGAACGCAGATTCACTGAGCGCTCAACACAGACAGCATCGTCAGAAGGAAAGTTGATAAAATAAATTACAAATGTTGTATTGTTCGATACATATGCGTACCGAACCGAAAGCACTGTATCGAACGGTTCAATATCGATACGAATATCGTTGCACCCCTAATAAGTATATACATGTACCTGAGTTTGTTTTGTTAGATGAATCTGCTTTTATTTGGTAAGTAAAGGTGGGCGTACTCAAGTTTATTATTTGTATCTCTGTCCAGAAGCAAAGCACTTTACTTTCAGTCGTTTAAGGAAAAGACGATCCTGTAACAGTGGAAACTTTCATAATCTCTTCTTTTATGGACAAAAAAGATTTTGCATCGCAAAAAAGTTAATTTTGTATCTTTATGCTATCAGCCATGGTTCTTTAAAAGACATCAGTATCTGATCATCACCGCCACGTCAGCTACACACACACACACACACACACACACGTCTTTTCTCACCTCTTCATCACCCTCATCATCTCCAGTGTCATCATCCATCAGCAGGCCGTTGGGAGTGTGAGCATGAGTTCGCTCATTGAGAGAGTACACGGGCTTGATGTAGTGGCCCATACTGGCCTGCTTGGCTACTGCACTGTTAAAGGTCCTATGCTGCTGTGCCTGAAGACAAAAACACACACGTCAGCAATTTGACTTATTTTTTCCCTGCTATGACCTGAATTATTTAAAAAGGAAAAAGGTCTATACCTGTCTCATGGCAGTCTCTCCAACCTTGTCTGAATGCTTTCGAATGCTCTCCAGGAAGTCTTTGAGGTCTGACATGGAGATGTCTTTGATCTCCTCTCTCAGTCTGGGCAGATTTTCAGCCATGATCTGACAGAACCTGTACTGACTGACCCTGCAAGGGATACATCAGAACTATGAAAAAAGAAAAGCAGTCCAATCCAACATCATCTACATTCATTCAAAAAATCAATAAAGAAATACATTTTAAAAAGCAGCGCAGTGCAACAGCTGGCAGACTAACAGTCTGACACCTGTTAGCTTCTCATGTTGAGCCAACATTACTGTGACATTCTTTCAGCAGCTTTCGTCTGATCCTACCTTGGGATATAGACCTTCTCCAACTGCTCCATGGTTTTTAGTGCGGCATAATATCTGTAGACGTAAACAGCACAGCATTAGTAATAACAACTCCGAACTACTGCTACTTATTAGAACCATTTAACATTTAGTCTTCAAATGGACTTGGAAACTTAGTAGCAACACAAGGAATGATTAAACTAAGAAAACACTGTTTCTGTTGTCAAATGAATACACAGTAAGAAAGCCTCAGATCCTCCCCCGGTGCTTTCAGGCCATCTGAACTATGTAACCCCTCCACTGAGCCCAGGGCCAACAGTAAATGTCTGAGGGAAACACCCATGCCAATATAATGATAGTAAATAATAAATAACAACAAAGTATGACCTATATCTGCATGTACATACACTTTTTATTGTCTATTCTGTAACCACAAAGTATTTGTGTTTTTTTAATTATGGGCACAAATGACAAGAGTTCAGTGAACGGTCAGCGTGCTGAGCTCCCATTATGATGCTGATAAGCATGATCTAATTGATCTAATGGATCTAATTGGTGGTTCAAACTGTATTGTACACAAATGAACAGAAGACACTCATCAACTGTAAACGCTGTCAGGAGGAAGGAGAAAGTGCCAGGACGACAGCTTTCAGCACTGATGGCGTGTGTGCGTACGTGCCGTCGGGTGCAGCAAATTAAAATCGTTTTGAATCGGGAAATCTTTTTTTTTAAACCCACCCCTGCTAAGCCGTGACAGAGCAGCAGCGAGGGGGGCCTTCCTGTGAGCAAGGGCACTTCCTTCCAGTCTCTTAATTGGTACATGGTAATGAACAAGAAAGGGTCAATATTTCCTGTCCAAAGTGAACACCCCTCCTCTCTTTACAGAGACAGGCTTGTAAAGTTTAGACAAGCTAGCAGAACATGAGCTGAAAAGTCGGTGAGATTTTAAACTGGAAAGAGAAATTAGAAATGTTTAGAATTAACAATAAAGGATGACTTCCTGAATCTTATTTTGGAAGGTTCAGGCTTGGTTTCGGCATGGTGTTGGCAGGGTGTCACAGACAGGAAGTGACAGAGAGAGAAAAGGAATGCACATACAACAACATGTCAATTAATCAGTCGATAATCACATGTTTAATTTGCTGGCAAGCAGGTCACAGTTACAAGCTAGCTAACTTGTTACAGTTTTAAGGCTTCCCAGATTGATTTATGATAACAAACTCAACTTTTGGGGGTCTTTATAAACTCTCAACTTATTCCAGACCACACTGTCACTACGTATGCAAGAATGAATGTAAAGCTCACTATTTCCTACATCTTGGCAGCCCAGTTTTAACCAGTTAGCATGTCATGTGGTCATATGTCACTGTCACAGGGTCTCTGCTGGTAACATAAAAGCTGACGCACCACGATGTCCCCCGTCTGACCATAACTGAGACGTCAGTCCACCTCTAACCCACAGCAGGTGTGTACACCCTGTGCTCTGACAGGCTGCTAACAAAAAGGAACTACTACATCCTGCATTGATAACATCTTTTTCTGACATGTCTTTATCTTTATTTATTTATCTTTACCAGTCACACATCAGGTGAAACTACAACACAAAAGCTGTGTTTAAATGATTGGACCATGATGTATCGAGTTGATTGTATTTATCGCTGTCTACTTGTGATTTTATTGCCAAAGAAAAACTGTAAACAAGGTCACACTGTGGTGAAATGCTTTATGATGGTTACCTTTTGGATTCCAGCTGCTCCTTTAACTTGCTGTACATTTCTAGCACTGCAAAGGGAGCAATGACAGGAAGCAGGATTAGTTTGATGGTTCACACATTTCAGTCAGTTTTGCTCATCACACATCACATTTACAGTGATAACATGTTTAGTTACCAGTAGGCTCCACTGCACTGCAGACCTCTACACTGATGCATCACTGTTACAGCAGCTTAGGTGCTATACAAGTTCCAGTATTACACATGCCAGATAAAAGCATGCATAAATAATTTTTACTTGATACCCAAAAACTAAGGTCAGCTTCTTCAGCTTATGACGCTGGGAAGGCTGGAGGCAGCCACAGGACGCAAGATTAAAGTCTAAACAAACTGACTCAGTATCCACACACTGATGAAGAGTCAATGAGGAATTTTACAAAACTCACCACAGTGGATTATAAACTACAGATGTGACTGAAGTGCAGATTTTTAGCTTTACTTCAAGGAGTCTAAAACTAAGTATTGAATTAACTGCTTATGAGTTACAGCCATTTTTAGCCATATTCTCTCATTTTCAGAGGCTCAAATGTAACTGAACTAGGGCTGCAACAATTCATCGAGTAATTTAAATAATTATATGATTATAAAAATTTCTTGACACAATTTTTTGCTTTGGTGCTTCGTTTAACGCACAGCTCTGTAGCGTGCCACTGTCACCACAGAACTGAAAACAGACCTGCAATACAAATGTTTTTAGAAGCAGCGTACAAATAAACCCTTTTACACAGAGAAAAATCTGCAGTAATCCTCCAGAAGTTGAATTAAAATATGCAGATGAACTGATTACTTAGTCTGACACCAAGTTTAAATGTTACTGTCACGGTCCGGGGCAGCGGCCGTGTGGAGGAGTGGAAAAGGAGGACTCAACGCAGCACTTACTCGGATGTGAAGGTGATTTATTGAGAATAGCCAACACAAAGTGGAGATGGCAACAGAACTAAGGACGAAACTAAACTGGGATAAACTACACAAAGAAATAGAAAACCTGAGCATGGAGAGAGAACAGCAGGGAGAGCACGCAGGGGATTACACCAGGTAAGAACACAGACGACGCGACGAGGAGCAGAGGAAATCACACACTATAAGTACACAGAGAGACACTGGGAAATCACACACAGGTGGGAGACACAGCTGGACCTGGTTAACCTGACGAGACAGGGG